CCAGGGCCTATTCACAACATGACCCGGCTGCCTTAATGCAACACGTGACAACGCATGGAGAGGTGTGAATGGGCCCCTTGTCTCCTGTCTGTAGGAGGGGCTCAGACGTGGCCCCGCTCCTGACCCCGCCTCCCATATAACAATGAACGCTCCACACGGCCAAGTGCTCACGTTTATTCCTTTTGAATAAGAAACAGAAATCTGTCCGTGTCGGAGCGGTTACAATCTGTGGGAGGAGCTTCCGCTGTGAATTCCGGGCGGACGGATCCGTGTTCATGGAATGTTCTGTCTGACGTACAACATGTATGTATCGCACACGTCTCTTCTCAGCGCCAGTGGCGGCGTACAAATGGATCAGTAATCGATCTGCGTGCAGTTCCTTCTGCCAGCCAGCGGGGGGCGGTGTCACAATACACCAATTCACGGCAATGGGGCCTCCATTCTACACATGATACAATGTAACAAGGGACGAGGATGACTCCATTCTACACATGATACAATGTAACAAGGGACGAGGATGACTCCATGCTACACATGATTTTGAATGTCTCTGGATCTAAGCCCCTGCTGCACAGCAATGGGCGTGTTCCCTGGTTCTGGCTCTGCCCCTCCCACTATAGCTCCGCCCATACAGGGGAGGGAGGTGGCGCAGCACAGAATCATGGACAAGATGCTGCGTAGGGACGAGGATGACTCCATTCTACACATGATACAATGTAACAAGGGACGAGGATGACTCCATTCTACACATGATACAATGTAACAAGGGACGAGGATGACTCCATTCTACACATGATACAATGTAACAAGGGACGAGGATGACTGATTGGATGTCAGTATTTTGAATGTCTCTGGATCTAAGCCCCTGCTGCACAGCAATGGGCGTGTTCCCTGGTTCTGGCTCTGCCCCTCCCACTATAGCTCCGCCCATACAGGGGAGGGAGGTGGCGCAGCACAGAATCATGGACAAGATGCTGCGGTCCTTAGGGTGACACAGGGCCACACTCAGGTTACAGCGCCGTGATATCGGCTTTAGCAGATCACATTACAGATTGAGAGATACAATTGTATTCCGGTGTAGGGTCAGAAGGTCAGAGAGAAGAGGAAGCCAACGCGTTTCAGGGCCCGTACACGTCACCGTCATCACTATTATCAGACACGAGGTGAATACAATGTATCGCTTCTCATCAGACATTTCGGATCAGGTCTGGTACTCTCCTCGGCCCTGATGAAGGGGGAGGAGGGGGGATTTCTTGTCCCCCGAAACGCGTTGGCTTTGATCTGACCTTACACTGGAGTTCATTTGTATCGGAATGATTGTCGAATCTTCTGTATTGTACAACAAAGCGAAGACGATGAGCGGCTTCTCGGGGGCGGGGAACCGGCGTCATTATACTATAGGGGAACGCTA